TGAAATGACCTTCTTCATCTCTTTTGATTGATTTTAGCTTGAAGTTTATCTTGTTAGATACAAGGATAGCTACCCCAGCTCGTTTCTTGGGTCCATTTGATTGGAGTATCTTATCCCAACCCTTTACTCTGAGGTAATGTCTGTCGTTGAATTCGAGGTGTGTTTCTTGTATGCAGCAGAAGCATGGATTCTGTCTTCATATCCAATCTGTTAGCCTGTGTCTTTTTATAGGTAAGTTAAGACCATTAATATTGAGGGAAATTAAGTTCTATTCAGTGTTTATTCTTGTTGTTTTTGTTTTGTTGTTGGTACTGGTATTGTATGTGGATTTATCCTGCCTTTTATTTTGTATGTTTGTAGAGTTGGATTATCTATTGCCTATGTTTATGCGAGTGTAGTTAATTTCCTTAGGTTGGAGTTTTCCCTCCAGTACTTTCTGTATGGCTGGATTAGTGGTTACATATTGTTTAAATCTGGTTTTGTCATGGAATATCTTGTTTTCTCCATTTATAGTGATTGAAAGCTTTGCTCTATAGTAGTCTGGGCTGGCATCCATGTTCTCTCAGAGTTGGTAAACTATCCAGGTCCTTCTAGCTTTCAGAGTTTCCATGGAGAAGTCTGGTGTAATTCTGATAGGTTTGCCTTTATATGTTACTTGGTCTTTTTCCCTTGCTGCTCTGTTACGATAAATCTTTCTGCCAAAAGCCGCCAAGCCCCACTACCACATGTGTGCTTTATGCCAGCCACCCTTCCGAGTTAGGCCCAAATGCATGCACAGAAACTTATATTAGGTTCAAAGCTGCTTGTCCAATGACTAAGATTCTTCATCTGTTAGCTCAGTCTTAATTATCATAAATCTATATATTTTATAAGACTTATCTTATCAGACACCTTATTGGCATCCCTCCTTGCTGGTGGATCACATTGTGCCACTGGAGGAGCAAGGGGAAAAACGGGGCCTTCCTGTTTCTCCTTCACTTAAATATGAGTCTCCTTGCTATGTCACTTCCTGCCTGGATCACCACTTCTCTGCTACATTTCCCAGAATCCTCTTTGACTCCTAGTCCCGTCTAACTTGCTGTCTCATTGGCCAAACAGAACTTTATTTAACAATCAATAAGATAAACATACACAGTACATTCCCCATCACTGCTCTTAATATTTTTTCTTTATTCTGTACGTTTGGTGTTTTAATTATTATGTGACGAGGGGACTTTCTTTTGTGGTCCACTCTTTTT